TCTCCTCTCCTCTCCTCTCCTCTCCTCTCCTCTCCTCCTGTTCCGTCCTGTTCTAGCAATGCTGATGGTACTTGTCTATTCACAGCATTATCAAGAAGATGATCCAATAGCCCTGTTGGGAGTTTGTGCATACAGAAATACATGCTAATATATTGTAAAGGCTATTAAGAAGAGAAGAGGGCTAAAGGGATGCCTTATTATCAATGTAGTTCATTAGTAATTTTCTAATTTATGCCTGACTATCAGTATGGTCCTTTCTGGATAAGTAGCAATATTTTTTGGTCCCTAATGTCTCTTCCATTGCTGGATCACATGCATCTCCTTGCACCTCTGCACTGAGAGAAAATGTAGGAATGCAGAGAGTTATTCTGGCTACTGTGGAAATGCTGAGAAGCTCTCTGGACTCCACTGACAGTACTGATTAAATCCCCCTGACTGGGAATAGGCGCTTAGGCACCTCGCTCCCATATGGATGCTTATATTCAGGCATTTAAATCAAAGCGTTCACATAAACTGGAGCTGAATAACGCTCTGAGTGTCCTGGGCACAGAAACAGCAAGGTCATTAAAGGAAAGGCAAATTCAGATTAAGGAAGAAGAAAAACAAAATAAGTCATGCCCAATGTGCTTTTCTTTTTCTTCTTTTTTTTTGTGTAAAGCATCCCTATTTTTTCCTTCAAAGTCTGAGGTGGGTCTCTATCCTCGCACTCTGCTGCTGCCTCCCTCCCTGCACCACTCACAGCAGCAGGGGCCTCATTTTTCATTTTGGAAATGGAGCATTATCTTCGCAGGGCAGAGGAGGGAGAGATTGGAAATTGTTCCCTGCAGCCTCACCCGTTACTGCAAGTATTGGTTTCAGCTGCCTAAGCACACCAATAGCTCTCCAGACTCTTTCCGCTGCATGACACAAAACAAAAACCTAATGAGGAAAATCGGAGCACTCTTAGGGCAGCTTACATGTGCGTTAATAGTTTGGCAATACCTTAACGCTGYGCCCAGCCTTGTAGCCAGTCCTTTCCCAGGAGATGCCATCAGGGTCCGGAGGAGTTGCTAATGTGCTGCAGCATCCGTGTTAACAGGATTTGCGGCAGCRCTTGGGATTTAGTTAAAATTGGAGGATTTTTTTTCCCCTCAAGCATGTGTAGCACAGACTACTGTGCTGCACAGACTGCTGTGCTACACATGCTTTATATGGGAATATTGGAGGGGTTGAGCACTCGCCATCTCTGATGCCCACGGAGCTGAAGACTCCCAGAAGCTCCTTCATGATCTACAGCAGCAGCCCCAGTGACTTCCGTATGAGTGCCTATGGTGGTGCTGTTCTGACCAGGGATTCCTGGCCCATCAAAATAAAACAGCTTTGGAATACTTTCAAGCTTACTTCTTCTAAGACACGGGCTTGCAGCTTTTTCCTCTCAGGCGCCGTGCCCAAACGGGTGTAATGCAAAAGCGAAATGAAGGCCCTGGTTCATATCTCTGTTATTCCAGATTTTCATTGCTCTGACAGCACGGACTTCACTGTAATTACACTGGCTTATGTAAGATCAGAGCTCAGCGTGTTCCCTTCAAAACCTTTGTGAGCAGCCACGCTATAGGATTTCTGTCCATCTTCCTGGCATCATTTTATTGCTTAAACAAGGCAATTTGGCTTCTGCTACTGTGGTGCTGAAACGAATCTCGCTCTTTTGTAATGGAGATGTACTTACTAATCTTCCCCATCACGTCCCCAGYACTGGCTGCCTTTCCCTGTTATAATTTGCTGTAGTCTTGGAGTGAACAGAGAAACATGCTGTGTTGTTAAAACTTGGGGCTCCTGTTGCTGATAATTTGATGTCTGGTCCAAGAACTCCAACTATTGCCCATAGGGCCGTACTTTATTAAGAAATGAAAAATGGCCCTCTCTTCCCTTCTCCTAAGTGTTAACAATCAAATACCGCTTCATCAAGTGGGAGGAGACCATCGTACCTTCAGCATGTCTGTTCAGCAATACCAAAGAGGCCGTGTGACCTTTGAGTGTGGAAATATTTTAGAGTCAGTGCCCACCACCAACCAGGCTGGCTGCCAGTGCTGGAAGAGACCCAAGTATCCTCAGTGATCATGTGTTGAGCGGGACCTCTCAAGTTGGYTTTCTTGTTAACACGTGGTTCCTTCTGTGCTGGTGAGTCCTCATTTCCCACCTGCAGCATGTCTTAGTACCAAGCACCGATGTTGTGAAATAGGTCATCTCACTGGCACTGCTTTTTTTCTTTCTCCATTACTGTTCCCTGATTTACACTGAATTTTCTTTCTTTACTCTGGAATATGGAATATATGTTTCCCACGCATCCTTCCTACATGTAGTAAAAGCACACTCAGAAAAGTTACCCAGCTAACATTAAAACACTTCTCTGTTTGATTTTTGTGTTATTTTCTATGTTGCTATTTTGCGGAGAAAAGTGGATTCTATAGCCTAAAAAGTCCTTGATGTTCTTCTTGGCCATCTTACTAGCTCTGTGATTTCAAATAAACAATGGAAGTGCAAAAAAAAAAAAAAAAAAAAAGTCAGGAGTTCCCATCCATTGCCATATTTAAGATGAAAGAGTAAGTTAATAGACTGTAAATTATTCTATTCTTTAGGCATTTTGTTTCTGTTTGTGCAATAATGTGTATGAACTCTGCTACTAAGAGATTGTATCGTGAGTAACCATATCTACTTTTATTCCTAATTAACAGATAGTTTGTAGACCTAGGGATTTTCATTGATGTAAAGCACAATTTAATGAATTATTTAATGTGTTTAACCATTGTGATGTCAAAAGCAATTGCTTTCATATATTTATTTGTTGGTGGTTTCTGTAAAATAATACTCTTTATGAAAAATGTTAAAAATGAAGAAATTTTGTTGAATATTGKTGGGTCCATGAATTACTCATGAGCGACAAATAAACATTGGTTGCATTTTTGAAACATTAAAGGTTTTCTTTTATCTATATTGCCATAAAAATGAAAGGGGAACACTTGTCAGATGATAGGTTTTAACCATTACTAAACCTCCACCATGCCTATAGCTATATCTTTTTTTTCTAAAAAAAATCCATGTAGGAAAATACATTGATATAACCTAGTATTTAATTATGGTGGGGGTTAATCTCTAATATCATGATTCCAATTGACTTCACTAGGCTTGATCTTGGATTGAGTTAAGATACAAGGCTCAAGACTTGCATGGTTACTAGCCATTAAGAAGAATGTAGGCCTCAGCGTTGGTCTTGTGCCATATATGTCAGSCCTGTGCAGATGTCAGTCTCCAGAATGACCCTTGAACTTAGGAACCTGCATTGCTCCCGCGGCATTGGTGCCATCTGAGGGCACCACAAGAAGCAATCTAGAGGCGAATCTGAGAGTCTCTTGTGAACACAAAATTAAGTGCACTGCATGGCAGAAACACAGAATGAATATTGTCACAATTGCAGGCCCTGCACTCCAGTGAAAGCAGTTACAAAGCTGGGGCAGAAAGATGGTGAGTGAAATAAATGTCTGAGTTACTGATAAATATTCCTATATACCAAAAACAGAAAAGAATTTTACTGCCAAAAGACAGACACATTTTTTACATATACAGCACTACATTTCAAGAAATACATCAGAAAACTGTGCTGTAATATGCAGTTTACAGCATAGTTAGTTAGAAGGAAGAGCAAAAATGAGTGTTGCTGGACTGTATTCCTGATGGCTGGAGAAAGGCTTTGATTTTTAAGATTCCATTCACTTTCACTTCTGTTTTAGCTCCAGAGGTTATACAAGGTGTGACACCTTTCAACATTTGCTAAGAAATTTGTGAGTACTCCCCTAAAATTGTGAATATGAGATTATACAATAGAGAGGTAAGTAAATGACTATTATAAATCTTACTGTTCTATAAAAGTGCAGAGYGCTGGAAAAATGTAATGATGTGAATAAATAAGGCCTACCCTACTCAGACAAGGGGGTTAGTGCAGTACTTCGTCCACTGAGTAAAAAGCTCACCACTTCTCTGTGAAGCATATAGACTGAGATTTTTTTTTGCCATGTAACTAGAGCTCAGTCAGCTCTTAACCTCCACATGCAACTTCCATCCTCTTACAGGCAATGGAGACAAATAAACGTAATGATACRTAGACCACTGGGATAAGTAAACCAAGAGAAAGGGGGAAGAAGTGATGAGGAATATGAGCATCAGGAAGCCAAAGACATATCAACTGTGAAAGGAAATGTTGGAAGATGACCCAGAAAATTCTGCTTAGCTATACAGATTTCACAGAAATAATGGAGAGTAGATTTGGGGGGATTTCTGACTCAGAAGTTTTTAAACTGAGTATTTGATAGATGCTTAAGTCCAGTCTCTTGAGACAGGATCTGCAAGGAGCTAGAGACTGTGCTCTGGTYGAAATAGGCTGGTGCCTCTGAGATTTCACTTCAGCAGTGATACAGCCAAGGGATGAGGAGCCTTGACTTACCACACAGGCACACAGAGACCAAAAAAGGTCTCACTTTGTCAATGGCAAGTTTGCAGTCAGTCAGGACTGCTACATCAAGTGTGAGATTGCAAATCTGGGAGCAGCAATGTTTATGATAAGCAGTAATGACAATGTCACAGCTACAGAAGTTAAAATGTTTGTGAATAACATGATGCAGGAGTATGCATGTTAACTAACAGTAAGAAATTAAATAGTAAAAAAGCAAAATAAGCCCAGGT